CTTAGATCTAGGCTCCAAGGGTCTCTAAGGGTCAGAGTCTTGGGGAGCAGGGAGGGCTCACCGGTGTCTTTCACTAGGAACCTGGTTTTGGTTTGTTTTTCCAAGGTGATCTCACCTTAAACATTTTGGTCTCCATTTCCCTCCACTTTATGCAGGACCTTCGACCACGAGCCCCTTCGTGAGGGTCCTTCCTGGTGGCCAGCCACCATCTAGTTCTGTCCTGCGGCTCTTGGAGGAGGTGGGGGTTTGATCCGGCTTCTTTGTCCTGGGTGGGGAGAGACCAGTCACTGCGTCTAGATGGCCCCTCACAAGCCTCGAAGACCCCGGCTCTTCCCACCGAAGCAGGCTGTAGAGCATTGTCCTTGTGAACTCTCTCCTGCCATCTGACCGGTGTCTCCCCGACACAGTGGTCCCTCCCGGGAAGGGTTCCTGGGCCCAGGGACTGGATCCCCTCAACATGTTTGTTGCTAAGACGGTTTCATAACTCTGCATGCCCCTACCACCTCCTCCAAATGCTCTCTGATACCGGGGACTTTCAAAAAGTTCGTATAAAAATTCTATGACCGTTTAGTTCCATGGATCCCTGAACCCTGGGAAGCCCCTCACCCCCACCCCCACCCCCACCCCATATTCACGGGGAGAGTTACACCCTGACACATGCTTGTGACCCAGTGCTGTTCTTCCCACCCCTGCTCAGCTTCACTGCCTGGCTGTGATGAGATCTTTCTTGAGGCCTGAAATTTCCTGGAAAAAGACAAATATTTCAATCTGGACAGCTGGGGGTGGGGGGCCTCACAACCTTGGAAACTGCCCGAGGCAGGGCTGCTCCGAGGCGAGGCGAGGCCCAGCCCCCATCATCAGTGACTTTCTGGTTCACATTGGTCCCTGCCCCAAGACAGGCGCCCCCAAACCTCAGCTTCGGGGCTCCCCCTAGGCTATAGGCCAGAGGGCGGGTGCGGGTCGGAAAGAAACTGCGGGCGAGCCAGGTGAGGCCGCAGGGTGGATGTCAGCCGCCAGGGGGCAGCGTGGGGCTGCATAGCGGGCTTGCAGGGCGCATCCCAGATCCTAGGCTGGGGATACTTGCCCTCGCCCACCTCGGCTGCAAAACAGGGAACCCCCCAGTGTAGACCTGCGGGGCGTCGTGAGGCTTGACATGTGGGTGACACCCGGTGAAGTGAGCGTGCTCAGCTGCCCTAGCCTCCTCCGGGAGGTTCGGAAGGGTTTTGATATTTTCAAGTTGGCGGTACACACACTGCTGAAGGAGGGTTCTCTTCCAAGGTTCTGCATGGGAACAGCTCATCCTGTTGTTTCACCAGCGCTATGAACCTGCCCTGGCCCCCACCCAAGCGCTTCCAGCTCCCCAGAATGGGGGGAGGGCACATGTCCCCTAAGCCGTGAGCCCGCTGCCCCTCCCGAGGTGACTTCTCTTCCCTGGGTGTCGGAAGAGCACACAACCCTGTTGGCGCCTGAAGTCTCCATAGAAATGTCCCTGGTCGTGGACGAGGGGGTGGGGAAAGGCTCCATCACCTGGCATTCTGGGGTTCCAGGACGGGGCAGCTCCCTGCCACGTTACCAGGGGAAGGCATGCTACTCAGACGTTGCACCAGACCGCCTAGCCCAGTGTCTCGCGGGCACAACTCTCCAATGAAAGTTGATTTTTCGTCCCTCCACCAAGAGCCTCGGTGGTCCCTCCGGGTTTGGGGGAACCCATGGTCTGTGGCGCAAACTGGTCACTCAGCCCCACCTCGCTGGGGAGGGACAGGGGGTGGTCTTCTCTGAGTGGGGGTGCTGAGTGCACGGGTATGGTGGACAGGCAGCACTGTTCCGAGCCCCAGAGAACAGAGGAGACTGAAAAATATGCAAGATGCTCAACAAGGGGCCAGGCAGGAGCACCTCTGGCAGTGGGCTTCCCTACCCCTGTGCCTGGTGGATCTGGGACTCCGGGGTGAGGGTGGGTGCAGAGCACCCCCGGGGGGGGCACCCCTTCCCTGCTCTGTTCTCAAAGCAAACGCACAGCCCAGACTTTGTCCCCCTGGCTTCCTGGGGAAGTCCTTCTCGGACAAACTAGCCACTCTGTTGGTGTATCCAGACCAGATGTTTGCTTGCTCAGGGGCCCTTGGAGTGGGTGGGGGACGGGGCCTCTGCTTGGAGCCGGGCTCTCAAGCCCCCGAGCACAAGGACAATCCTTCTCCAGGTTTGTCCCAAAGGCTGGCTTGGGGGAGGGAAAGGCAGCTGGCTCCTGGAACTAGAGGTTTTATCAGTCCTCTCCCTCCATCCAAATGGCACCGCCCTCTTCCCCTCTGCCTTCTCTGTGGCTTGGAGGAGTCAGTGCGAGCCCCCCACCCTCAAGAGGTGGCGGGGTTCCCTGCTCTCCCTGCCTGAGTCTGCCCACCCCCTGGGCTCCTCTCATGCACAAGGCAAGAGCCCTCTCCCTAAGGCACTCACTCCACACGATCTACTACCCCCCAACCCCACCCCCGCCCCACTCAGCCCCTCAGTCACACTGCCCAGGGGGCTGGGGCCTCCCGGGGGGGTGGGGGGGTGGGGGATGGGCCTGCTGCACCTGGGCACCCGCTCTCTGTCTCCCACCCCTGAGAGGGCTGAAAAAAATCCCACCCTCACAGCCCTGGGCTTGCTGGGCCAGTCTCTCTGATGGCCCACCTGGTCTGTCCTCCCTCCCCAGACCCCCTCTGCCCCTGGGTGTGCTGGGCTGGGGCCCCTGGGACCCACCGCTTATCTCAGAGTCTGGAAGCTGTCCAGCCAGGGCAGGCTGGCTATGGTTCTCTTCTGCCTAGCAACGCCTCGCCTCGTGACGGTGCAGGGGTCACCCAGGATGAGGACTGAGAGCCCAGGGCTGGGACCCTCAGGGGGCCTGGGATCCCCGGCACCTCACCCCCACGCTGGGCTGCTCCTGGCCCCCAGGGAGGGGCCACTGTCCCACGACAGGCTTGACCAAGGAGAGGGCAGCAGGACCTCACCACGGCTTCCTGGTCCAGTGGGAGCAAGGCTGGTGTGGGCAGGAGGGGCACTGGGTCCCTGCTCTGACACCCGGCGCTGGTGTGACCTGGGCCAGGCCATTCTTCCCCCAACGGTCAGCACATTCATGGGAGCAGGAGGGTGGAAGGTGCCAAGCCCCTGTAGTGGACTGCTCCCCTCAGCTGATCCAATCCGCCTCACACCCCAGTCCAGTTCCTTTGTGAGGTTGCCCTGGGGACATGCACACAGGGAATGCCACAAAATGTGGGTCACCAGCACCCCAAGAAAGAATCCTGTCCACTTTCCAATCCAGCACCAGGGGGTTGAAATGCACTCTAAGTCGCGGGGTGGGGGGGGCCGGCTGGGCATGGGGGCCTGCTGGCCAGGGAGTGGTGGCTCTGTACTATCGGCCAGCCTATGGCCCTTCACTGGGTAGGGGACAGAGTGGGTGGACAGGCACTAAATCCCAGGCTCAAGAAGTCCACCGGACGCCCCTTGGGGGCAAAACGGAGCCATCTGCTGCCCCTTCGAGAGGGCGG